TTCAACTTCCTTTATTTCTGCAACAATATACCATTATCACCTGCATTTGGAGTTTATGTCTCCCATTTCATTCAATATGCAAAAGCATGTTCTACGTACGAACAGTTTCTAAAACGAGGCAAGCTATTAATAAATAATTTAATTTTGTTTGTATTCTAGCCTCTGATTGGTTAATATCCAAAAAGGAACACAAATTATTTCTGTATAACCTGGTTTGGTATGGGGACGCACCCCCTTGACAACTAGCTGAATCGTCTGTATCCATGCAATCATCTCATTTCTAGTCCTCGGGATTCATGGAAAATTCCAGATTTAATAAATGTACCTTTTACTTCGAACAGTAAATCGGATCTTACAACATGTAATCAAACAACATGGCTGCTAGGACTATGTATCAGTTTTTACCTCCCCTCGCTTCCCATCACTTCCGTTACTACGGTTGTATTATTGAGCGGCAAATTTGAACTAATAAAAGGCAACGAAATTTTACAACCACAGTTGTTTAATGATTTTAAAATTAAATTATAAGGAATGACTCTAATTCTTGGCCAAATTATTCGAGTATAACCTGGTTTGGGTCAGTTTACGCTGTTTTATAATCCGCTTCGCGGATTATAAAGCGTAAACTGACCCAAACCAGGTTATACTCGAATAATTTGGCCAAGAATTAGAGTCATTCCTAAAATAAATTTATGATACAAAGATATCAACAGTTTCGTTAAGTCAACATTCGGAATGTCTATGGTCGATATAATGTCATTGTTAGCAAATACAATCTATCGTTAACTCGACTGTTGACATACGTTGTTAGACCATCATTATCAACCCGAATTGTCTACGGATTTTTCCTTTTGCCCGATCATGACAAGGAGTACACGGTGTGGTGTGTGTGACCAGTCGGTAGGGAATGCTTACTCCTACTTGGCACCTGGCCACACCTCTGATGACAACAGGTGACCAGAAAAGCTCGCTTGAGCTTTTAGCTAAAACATATCTTCTCTGGCCAAAGCAGTGTGAAAATTCTAAGAATAAGAACAAATGGATGGTTGAGGAAGATAGAATTCCATATTTGTTGAAAGTATTGCTATTATGTGTGTTTTATTTCTGGTGGTAAAGTAGGTTGGATCTACCTATTATATTTATTGACAAATAACAAGTTTGACATGAACAGAATCGTTTCATAAAACTCGATTTAAACATCATTCCTCACTGAGAAGGGTCAGGATCGAAACTTGTCTCTAAGATACTTCAAATCACAACATATTGCCTAGGATCTCGACCCAAGAATTACATCGAATAATTCCATGAGAAGGTTTGATTTGTGCCAATTTTGCCAACTTGGACGGATGGAATAGACGTTATTGTATGTAGAATCCAATGTCCAGTTAAACCATGTTTTTCTGCATTGTCTACAGCCGTTTCATTACACTGAGTTCTTTTACAAACTGATTGTCAACCTCAGTGGAAATTTTTTCAGTCCTTGCTAAGCGATTCTTTGTTGGAACTCCCCAACGGTGATCTCGACCTCCTCCGTAATCTGGAGAACATTGGTCTTCTGAGCAAAACTTAAGTAATTTGCATAGGATGTTTTTATCCCATTTAATTCCTTCTTTGTCTAGTTTCCTTAAGAATATCATAATACATTGTCCATGTTCTTGGTCTCTTCATGATAACTAACACTGCACTCCTCATAACGATAGTCGAACCCACTGTTCTGTTCTTGGGCATATCCATTTGCTGCATAAAGACTCTCAGATTTAAATTTCTAACAAACATTGCAACAAGATTTTTTTTACATGAAAATTAAGTGAATTAATTAAATATATGACTGCATAGAATATAATATCAATATCCATCACTGTATTAAGAAAGCACTTTATAATTTCGCTTTGCGCAGTTTCTAATATCTCACATCATTTTCTCTTTAGGTGCACGTATACTAGTAGACAGACACACCATCACTACTCGGCAAAAGACCCAGTACTATTTAAATCACAGATATCACCATTAACATCATCGTCATCACTTATCTTCCCAACATGGGTATCCCCTGCATCGGTGTCTAAAATAAATAAATCTGTACTGTTTTATAATGCTACTATTGGAGAAAGGATAGTTCTTTTAAGGTTTTAAATTTTTAAATTCCACTCGTTAGTCCAAACAAATTTTCTTCCCTTTTCTGTCAACTTATGCAATGGCCTTGCAATGGAAGCAAAGTTTCTTATAAACTTTCTATAATCTGAAAACAGTCCTAGAAAACTTCTAACCTCAGTCAAACTAATCAGTGTTGACCCCTCTTAATTACATTGGTTTTATCTGGATCTGTAGAAACACCGATTATCATTCACAACATGTTCCAGAAATTTCACTTCCTTTGGAAACAGTTGCGCTTTTCAGGGTCGAGATACTAGTACAAATCTGCACTTCTCATCCGTTCAAAAACAAGTGATGAATTTTCAATTTTATCTTCCAAATAATTTTCAATAACAATTATATCAACCAAGTACGTCATGCAAACCATGTAAAACTTTTTCCATGCAGTTTTTCAAAAGTATACCACCACTATTACACGTCTTTCAATTAACAAAATGCATTATCGTGTGCTGTAAAAGCCGTTTTGGGTCTATCGTTTGCTTTCACGTTCCCTCCCTTGTTTTCGCGGGGACCATCTGTATGTAGCATTTGTCTTATAATTGAGATCTTCCTGACAAAGTTTCAATTCTTTCCTTATTTTGTCCATACTTCTTTTCAGTTCATGCATTCCGATTGAATATTATTCAGATTCTGTTTATTCTATCGTGGATACCTGCATTCCCAAATTTTGAAGATGTCGGAGGCCGACCTTTAGTTGGTAGTTCCTTGGTGGTTTCGCAGAGAATGTAAAATCATATCATTAGACAATTATCAGTAAGTAAAAAATTACATACCTATACAGGTAAATTTGACAAAAATGTCATGCACACTTTATAGAAAAATCGCATATGGGGTTTCCGATTTTTTTTTTTTTAATTTTACACATTTGTAGAGTATGCTTAGATACTTCAAAAAATAAAATAGATTTTGTCTATAGAGTTTCTGGCTTCCATGGCAACAGTGACACTATTTTCTACATAATATGACTGAAATTTATCTATAAATAGGAAAATTGCTAATATTTTCTGTGAAATAAAAAGAAAATCAGAAAATGTATTACAGTTATGCATATATTTTAATTCAAATTCAACAAAACTAGTTACTTTTCATAAATAATTAAAAATATTTTCATGGCCAGTTGTATGTTCTAATTTTAAAGTGAAAAGGGGAGATAATCAACATGTAAAAAAATGTTTTTGAGAATTAGTTATTTTTCTTTTTTTTCTCTTATAGAGTGACACATACGTCTGCATACGTTAATCAAGAGACAACTCATAACAGGAAGTGGCATTTAAATCGTGTTTATGATAAAACCCATGAATAACTGGAATTCAAATATTTCTCATTCAAACATTTCTCAAAAAGATATAAATATTGCGTTATAAAAGTGTAGTTTTAATGTACTTTGCTCCACGTTTTTGTGATATGAATGTACCGATGCAGCCCCCTCCCCCCCCCCCCTCACATTGCTACGTGTCAGGAAATGATCATGTTTGTTCTACGTGTGTGTGTACATGCTATTCCATAGACAAATAAATTCAATACTTGTGAGAGTGTTGAATATTGTGGAGATTTTACCTAAAGTATACATTAAAGCTTATTAAAATATCAAAGAAATTTTGATCATTGAAATTTATTTTTTTCATTTTTTTTATTTGTTGAACCACAGGCATTTTTCTCTCGATTTGTTCGCCAATTTTCTTTACATTTTCTTTACATATCAATGATTATTTTGGCTTTGTTTTGTGTGTTTGGTTAGTTTTGTTTGTTTGTTTTTGAGGAGTGGGGGGGGGGGGGGGCTACCAAATCCACGAAATGGATTCCTACGAAAATGAATGAAATATGCCTAAAGCAAATTTTGAGATTGCTTTTTCACAGAGCATTGTTTTGTAGATTTTACCTCTACTTATACAAAACTCAAACAGATTTAGGTATATCAAAATTTGTGAGGGTCAGTTTTGTTAACCCAAAGATAATTTAATTCATTCTGTATTGGTTAATTTTCAATCAAGTTTCTAAATTGTTCAAAATCATATGAACGACCTTAAGGACCCTCTATTCACTAATGAAAAATATTTTTTGGACGTTGAGAAAACATTACCATGTAGAGGTGTAAATACTATGTATTTCCTTTTCAACATAGGGAACCTCCATTTATCCTCAGGAAAAAAATTCAAAGACAACATAGTATTTGATGAACACAAATCACTGTCACTTATGTAAATGAGGGAAAATGCATGCAAATAAAGTGTTCAATTAATTTTTCTTGGCCTAATAAATTGCTAAAAATAGATTACATATAGAGTAATATGCTGTAGATTTCATTTTATTTAATTTTAGATCTAAGGGCAGATCACTCTCACTGCATGAAATACCATAGAATTAGAACTATTTAGCATGCAGTGTAGAGAGGGTCATTAATAAGATACATGCAGAAACGGATGACCTACGTGTCACACATGACCTAGCAATGGATATAATGTGATTATTAATCATAATTATACTCTTCAATGAAGGCCTTCTAAATTGTCATTTGATATTCACTCATCTCCTTCAAAAGGATTCATCTCTTATCAAACACTTTTGCAAAATAATTTGTTTTTATCACAGGTACCTAGAGAACAGGATAGCACTTCTATCTAAAACTAACTTAATATATACGAATCTTATCAATAAAGGGCTCTTAGTATTCAACCTCATGTATTTTGTGTCGGTATATATATATATATATATATATATATATATATATATATATATATATATATATATATATATATATATATATATATATGGGGTTTCATGTGGTACATGTAATACAAGAGTTCCAAACCTTTTCCTTCCTCGAAGATAAAAAAGCTTCCTTATTCCTGACCAGGTGTTATTTTTATTTATAAACAAATCTTACTTTACTTATAAACAGAGTTGAGACATATATTTAAAAATTATAATATTTATAAAAAAAAATATGGAATTAGATATGAAACCGTAACCTTTTCAATACTTCAAAACAGTTGTCTATGTCTCTTCAACAAAAATCTACTCAAGGCTTTCTACGCCAAATATTCAATGACACTTATTGTTCCATTTGAATATTCGCCCACCCAAACTTTATCGTTTTTGTCGACAGAGAGACCCATGGGAAACTTCACTTCCTTTCTCAGCAAGTAGCTCAGGAAGGATCCGTGCTGATCGATGACGTGGATTGTATAATTCAAGTAGTCCGAGACCAGAATATTGCACTGGCTGTCCGTGCTGATACCCCTGGGGTTAAAACTTTGATACTTGCCAGTTTTGATGTTGCCTTTGTAGACAAACTGTAATTTGCCAAGTTTGTCCATTACGACAACTGAATGTTTATCTTCATCGGATACACAGATATCAAAGTTTCTGTTTTCTGCAACGAAGACAGCATTCCGAAATATCCGTTTCTCTCTATCGAATTCCATTTTTCGAATCTCTGAGCCTTTTTCATCATATCTCACGACTCTTGACAGTGCCGCAGCTGCCTCAGTTTTCTTATATTGGCAGACAATGACGTCACTTGATAGAGTGACCACCAGTCCTTTCGGGGTCCAGTCCTCAGTCTTGATGAAAACCATCTGTACTTCTCGTGACCAGAGTTTGACAGTGTTGTCGGTATGGTCACTAAAGAGGACACACCCCGGAGACTTCAAGGCAATATATTTTGGATTCATGGGGCATTCTAAAGTCTCTGTGTTATTCCCGTCTTTCTCAATCAGCCGTACGTTATTGTCGTAGTAAATGAGACCTGCTCCACACATCCATACAGAAGATTCTGAGGCACAGGTAACATCGTACACGTATCTCTCCCCCACAGCAACAGAAACTTCAAGGGTAGCTTTTCTCTTTAATTTCTTGGATTTCTTCGGAGTTTTTCTTTTGATTTCTACAGATGGACACGCTGATTTTATTAAACTGGACAATTGACCAACACCTGACTTGGTAATATGTGCCTGGCCAGGTGTGAAAATAGGCATTTCGAAATTTGCCATTTCAGGCATTGTCTTTAGCGGTTTCATGTTTGGACAGTACTCTAATAATTCCCCAGGACTCAACAGAATATCTTCACTTCTCTTCAGAGCTTCTTCTACATCCTTTAGCCTGGTCTCCAAAACTAAGATCTCATGCTCAAGTTCAGTAAGATGGTCGTCTTTGAATTTTCTTGCCTCTGACCTCAAAGACTCTATGGCGAAGTCAACTTCTCGATGCAATTTTTCGCCGCATATAGAAATATCTTTATCGATGGCATCATACATTTTCACCGCATTGCTTAATTTCATTTTAATGTTCTCTATCTTTTGAAGGTAAGCAGGTTTTACAACAGATTTTAGCTCGATCGAATTTTGCATCAGTTTGGTAGTCTGTCGCTCAAGCAGTTCTTCTATAAGAACTTTGTCATGTAGCACGTGAGACGTGTTGGTGCAGTCGTCGCAGATACACACTGCACATTTATTGCAGCTGTATGTACTCTCTGTGTTCTGGTGCTTATGGCAATAAGGCTTATTTCCAGATCGTTCATCGTACGCGACCACATTGTGTTTTCTTGATTTATTCTTGAGATGTTCTGTGACACAGAGTTTGCAAATACGCACTTTACAAACTTCACAGAAAAGCTCTGATGGCGAATCACAAACCGAGCATGTCAGTGCGAACTGAGCTTCCGGATACTCCAAAGACACCTCAAAATCTTAAAAGTGAAAAACAAATCTTTGTTTCTTTGACTCTGTTTTTAAAACAGCAAATGATATAAGATTATGAATCAATGATGCAATAAAAATCAATGTTTCATAAGTTATTGAATCTTTGTACCGTATACATGCAATAATGCAACTTTGGCATGTAATAAAATATTTATTGATCTAACTTTTGGGCTTAAATATCGATTAAAGAGTGATTCCAGCTTAATTTTCGCCAGAATCAAGGTAGACTATAATACTGTACCTGAAGCAGAATCTGTAAGCGATGCGCTGAGTTCTGAAATCGATTCCTTTTCTGGCACATGACCAGCCTTAACAGTTATGTCTACCACGTCCGAACCTCGCTCCATATCTTCTTCTGTTGACCTGTTCACTGTGTGTTTTATTAAAAAAAATCATTTAGATAGCACAAAGTTTAACTTAAACAGATACATTTATATTTTAGCTAGAGGCTTCGTAACTTGTAAATAATTGCATGATTAATTAACCTGATATTATATGCGGTATGTATGAGCGACTGGTATACAGTTTTTGTATGTATGGAAAAATCAATTTCAAAAAATGATTTTACAAATACTTACTCTATAAGTACAGTAATTGTATAGCACAAGTTGTACAACTAGTGCTTATGCGTGTATTTTGTGTTTTTTTTAATATGAACAGATGTTTTACTTCGCCGATATTACAATCCATATATAATACTCTAACAAAACACACACTCACATACACACACACACATCTCTCTCTCTCTCTCTCTCCATCCATCCATCTATCTATCTATCCATCTATCTATCTATGTATCTATCCATCTATATATCTTACCTTATCCTTTGGGTTCATGAAGTGTACCCCTCTCTAGCAATTAATTCGTATCTACTTATAACATGTACAATTAAGTCATTACATGTGTATAGTATATATTAGTATATATAGTATGTTGTACAAACCGAAAGTGGATTCATTAAGTGTTGATGCAGTGAACTTTGGAGTCCATAATTGGCCTTCAGCTTCAGTCTGTGCAGTTACGTATATTTCACTCAAGCCTTGCTCCTCTTCTTCCTCTTTTTGCATCATAATCTATGTATATTCATGAACCTTGCTATTTCCAAGACTTTTTTTCCAGCAAGAATAATTACCATTTTATTCTTCAAAATTGTCGTTGACTATAATTAGGAATAAGAAAATTTATCAGTCATTAGTACACGCCAATTGCCATGTTAATATTTGTTCACAATTTTAAAGATTTATTCGCTGTCGGTTTTGCCTTTTTTCTGAATTTTATGGTATATTTAAAGTACAAAAGAATGATTACCTGATGGCAATAGACAATTGTGTGTTATTCCCAGTAATATGGCGACGGTTCTGGCCGCACATGAACATCATTATTAAAGTGCTTCACCTACGAGACTCCACTCCTGTCATATCAACATTTCTTTTCAGGAAGGAAGTTACTCGTACAATCGTGATAATTTTAAGAAATGACTTTAATTTTTAAAAAAATAATAAATCATGAGGACATGAACCACGACACTTCTTGCCCTTTGTCATTGCACCAGCATATTACACGAAGCGCGCAATTTGTAAATTTGTAAAGAATCTTATAAGGGAAAGTTATTAGAAATGTAAATATATTAAAATGAATGAACTACAAAGGTTTACCCATGTTATCTGAGTATTATCTTGGGACAGTGAGTATTAGCTTGGTTGGGGCAGTTTACGCTTTATAAGAGTAAACTAACTGTTCAGACCAAGGTTATACAAGTATTAGTTGGGTAACTTTTAAATAAATTTCCTTTATAATTTAGATTTTCTCTACCATATTAAGAAAGAAAATTAGATAGTTTGTCCAAAAATGCTTTAATATGTACAAAATTTAATATACAAGTCAAATTATTATGTAGGCATGACAGGTTATACGATATATAAACTCATTTTTCAGCAAATCAAATAGTGTGTTTCAATCATTTAATTTATATGCGTATATAACTACTGGCAACGAAAATTTATGGATTACTGTACCCCCCTCCCGCTTGAAAAGTGGGGGGATATAATGATTGGGGTCTGTCCGTACGTCCGTTCGTTACACTTGAGGCTAGTCATCCCTTATCCACAACTCCTCTTACACCACGAAATGCAATTTAATGAAACTTTGATATTTATTGCATTATGGCATTGTGCATCTCTTATTTTACGTTTCGATCAGATACATATTTGGGGTTTCACATAGCAAAATATGAATAATGTCTTTCTTCCTATAAAATTGGGGGTCCCCATCCCTGCAACTCCTCCTATACCACTAAATAAATTTTAAAAGAATCTTTATTACATAGTGTCATTGTGCACCTCCTATTTTACGTTTCGATCGGACAGATATAAATTTAGAGTTTCCATACTTAAACATGGACTTTGCCATTATACTCATATGGGAGCGGGGGTATCATTTTGTGAGCGTAGTGCTTACAGTTCCTCTAGTTTATTTCATGTTTTCTAGTTTTGTGATTATTCTGACAAAATATTTAGAATAAGGGATGTTTTTATTTATTAGTACACTGTATATATTTAAGGGGGGGGGGCACTAAAACCCGCAAAGCCGCAAAACTCTATAATCTATCTGAATTTATTTGAATTTGTTTGATTTATCAAGTGAAAGAATTCCAGATCCTGTTGTTCATTTATCAAAAAAAAATCTTGCAAACTTGTCAGTAGGTACAACACCATCATGTGGTGCATGTACAGTAAGAAAAGGCTATACAAGTATCTCTATCCTTAATCCAATTGCATGCCACATTAAACACCAACATTATCTGCCACCAAACTATTTTTTTAAAAAATTTTTCTAATACTGTCAATGAGATACTGTAGTTGGGTCAGAAAGATAATTCTATTTGGTACTATTATTCACTTATCTCTATGTCTTTGTTTAAACACACTTATCACATTGGGTCAACTACCACCCCGATCTCTGGTCTGTTCACATTGACTCGACGTCAACACAATACATGCCTGGATGTTGCAATGATCAATGTATTTTAATAATATAATACACAGTTCATCTTTTTGCAACCCTCGGTGTCTTGGCACGCGCAAAATCAAAAGGGTGCTTAAAAAACTGTCCCAGTTGGTACCGCGTTGCTGTAGCATAGACTAGTTTAATGTGTAGTATTATTATTATAGTTTTTCCTCCCGACATTTAAGGTCTGGAATAGACTCCCCCTTCCCCCGCCCCGGAAAAATGAACCTGGCATAGAATTCCCCTTAGGAAGAAACAACTCGGGGTCCAATTTAGCAAAGAGTGCACTAGTACCGAATATCCCCCTAAATTACAGTACGCTTCTTTATGATAAACGTGATGACTTTCACTTTTCAATCGTCAACTTCCCTTACTTATGCAGCAATATACCCTTATCACCTGCATACGAAGTTTATATCTCTCAGTTGATTCGATACGCCAGAGCATGCTCTACGTATAAACAATTTCTAAATCGAGGTAAATTATTGACAAACAAGTTAATGAAACAAGAATATCAGCAGTCTCGTTTAAAGTCATCATTTCGTAAGTTCTATGGTCGGTACAATGACCTTGTCAGCAAATACAATCTTTCATTAAGTCAAATGCTGACTAACTTTTTTTTACATACTAATTGTTAGGCCATTATTTACACATTGAATTGTCGACGGATTTTTTCCGTTATTTCCCGATCATGACAAGGAGCACACGGCGGGTGTGACCGGTCAGCAGGGGATGCTCACTCCTCCATGGTACCTGATCCCACCTCTGATGTCTTAGAGGTCCGTATTTGCTCTGCTCCTATTTCGTAATGTTTAATGGACTTTTGAGCTCGAATACTGTTCGTTATCTCCACACACTAGTATTTCATTCCATTCTATCTATCCATTTCTGGTTTCATTACTATAATTTCTATATCTAATTATTTTGCATTAATCCATCTGTATTAAGGACTACGGGGACAACTTAATATTGAAGAAAAAAAGAGAATAATTGAAAATGGGATGTTATGAATATCTACACATTTTAGGGAAAAAATAGATTTGCAAATGTTTGATTTGCTTGATTAATAAATAAACGAATACAATTATAGTTAGTTTTCTTAATATTCCCTTCCCATAAACATTGACCCCCCCACAAATTCTAATGGACACAGTAATTGAATTGATTTCACACAAAATACTTTTGAAAAGATTTTTTTCAAATTCTTAAAACTCCTATATATTCCAATGTAAAACTAGTATCCTCAATTGAGGCCTTTCCTACCCCTTCCCTCCCCCGTTGGTATAGCTCGAAGAAACTTTGATATATACGCGAAGTAAAGAATATCTCTAATAAATTTGATCTTTTCTTGTCCAGTGGTTCCTGAGAACTCTATTTTGCATTTTCTTCATTAAATTTACTTGGAAGGGGGGATTATCAATTTTGAACCCCCTTCACTGCTGGTTACTTTGTACAAATTTGGATTGAAATGGGTCTGGATCAAGAAGAAGATAAAAATGTAAAAGAAGTGAAAAACAACAACAATTTTAACGACACCTACAACTCAAAAGACAGAAAAAATACTTTGATCAGTTAAACTCGATCATTTAAAGAGCTAACAAAAGCAACTTTCATAGATCATGATCAAGATTAAATTAAACGATTGAAGAACCCGTTTGATGTAATCCGAAAACAAGGGAAACGCTGTACTGACTTTGTGCATGGGAGGAAATAATATACTGAGGCGTTCATCCCCCTTTCCTGGACCCTTTTTTTTCGGGGAGTAAAGATATGACGTGGGAAAGTCTAAGCTACAGCACCGAGTAGTTGCAGTTTTTCAAAGTGATATGCGTTTTGACTCAATCGGCAAACTTCGACCGATTCCTTACCCCTGGAAATGAAGGTAACGGAATCGACCGAGGTTTTCCTCAAATAAGAGGAATGTCCACAGGTTCTTTTGAAATAATATTTATTTTTTCTGTTTTTGTTTAAATGATTGGTAAATCGCTCAACAAATGTGTACTCTCAGGATAATTTATATTCTCGAGTCAGATATGTGTTGTTTTATACTTATTACGTGTGCCTTTTACAGGGAAAAGGCATTGGCGCTCAATTTTTTACAATCTTACCGAATATAAACTAACTGCAGCATTATTTTTTATGGATTTATTCCATCGTTAAAACAGCAGTACAAAATTGCTTGGAAATTAAGGCTATATACAGGATTTTAGTATACTTATTTAAGGTATTGTCATCAGCAATCATATTGTTTTTAGTAAATATATATGGCGTTCTAGTTTTGGTTATGTATTCTAGAGAAGTAATTTGCAGAAAATTTGAACATCAAGTTTTTGACCTAACCGGACAAGGTATATCGGGTCAAACTCGGTACGAACTCCTTCATTGAACAAGGGTCGTTTGGGGAGGGCAACTATGTGTTTCAGATACACAATTGCTACTTTCTTCTCCGTGTCTGAACAATGTATGCGGATTTTCAGATTTAATATAACAGTATTTAAATGTCACTTTATCATTATCTCATAGCCCTCTAAGTTTTATTGATGGGAATTTAATGTTCATATACATATTCATAACATTCATAAGTTTCTTCGTATCAATATCTCTAAATACGGTTCTATTTGCCGAAACATATTAAATATGTTTGCCTAAACATCGGCCCCGTATTTCATCTCAGTCAGAATTGCTGCATTTGAAGGGGGAAAAGGAATTTTTCGAATTTTGAAGTAGTGAGTTTTACAATGATGTTTGGACGATGTTGGATTTAAGATCGGGATAAATATATCCGTATAAGTATCAAATGTGGTATAGACGTTAACCTCTATTGGTGCACTCTACAAGGGTGTTATAGGAGGTGAAATTACCTCATCAATGAGAATGCAATAAAGACATTTAATGTTGACAGAAACTACTTCACTTTCCGAGCACTGCCTAACAGGACAAATTAAAGAGAACCAGTGAAGGTGAAATGTTAAACCAAGAGAACAACTGAAGAAGTGAAAACATTTTGTTCCTAAAGCTGATTTAAAAATTTTGATTTCTCTGAAAAGAAATCAGAAGTTTGGAATTTTATGTGAATCCGGAGGCTGTCTAACGCTTTAATAAGAATAACTAGTACTCTGAGAATATATTATAGAAAAAATGATCTCATCTGCAGCTTTCAAATTGCGTTGAACGTCAAAATTTATGGAATTTGTTTTAGGAACATGTAACCGAAATACCGAATGTGTAATTCTGTATATAAGAATGTTTAATTGAACGTTGAATTTTTTCAAGTCGATTTATTGTGCATGGGAAATTTAATTTACCTCTGCGTTTCGCCTCATGACAATGCATGTTGAGTTTCAATCTTGTGTATTTGTGTTAGTTATATGTGGACTATATCTGCCCATGATCACAAATGAATTTCATATAACATTAAAATTGAAATTTGAGTACAGAAAAAGCTTGTAATTTTGAAGGTAAATATCGTTAGAAAAGGAGACCTTCATAAATAACCTACATCAACAATAAAACAAGCCTTTGTTTGTCACCGCATGATGAATATAGGTCCAATACAGAAATACTTGGGTTTATAAATGAACAAAGAGTCTCAATTTGGATACCTGAGACTGTGTCAAAGGAAAAAATATATATATTTCAGAAAAATAACGTTTAATTTATTATTCTCGAGATAAATTATCAATGATTTCAAATGGGCATGAAATTAAAACTTGACATTTAACAATTGCCAAGACTGTATGCTTCATATAAGAGTGAAGGAGTTTATACGGGATAGTAATGATAAAAGGTATGGATCACCAAATTTCTAAGCCTAATGCCCCTTTAGAGGCTCATAACATGAGAGGAATGACCATCAGAAATAGCGTGGAAAAGCTAGAATGCGAAAAAAGACAGAAAATTATTGAAAAACAGAGAAGTTACTTTGTTCGTCAACATTCCAGAGATGAAAATGAAATTAAGCAGATATTACTCCGCCTACAACAGGAACAAGAGACAATGCACGATGAACAGGAAGACTCTACAGTTCACAGTAAGGACCTTTATTCTTTTTCATTCAAATGATTCATTTAAAGACTACAGGCTTAAAGAATTAGCCGATATGTAATCTAATGATACGCTCCAATAGACGTATTTGACTTGCATGTCTTTTTTAAAGCAATATGAGCTGCATTTTTTAGCATTTTACTTTGCTGTTAAAACGTGCTGTAATGATAAATCTATATGTAATTAAAAATTTATGATCAATTAGACTAAAATAAAGTTTATAAATTTTCACAAAAGAAAGATTTCTGTACAATGGAATGTATAGTATTATATAATAAGAAGTTAATATTGTACATGACGACAATAATGTAATTTTGCTTTAATCAAAGCTTATAAATAGTTCTTCCATCTCAAATATGAACAACAGAAGTTTATAAACGTATTTTTTCTGCCATTGAAATAGTTAATTACAATATTGCAACAAAAATTTCCGACATCAAACTTGCATCTCATATTGCTTTAAGTATAAATTTTAAAAGTTTGAAGATGAATTGAGACAAATTTTTTTATTTAAAAAAAAAAACTGGTCTTTTAAAATCCCGGCTTGAGTCCACTGAAAAAAGGATTTATTTTTGCCAGAAAGTACATGTACGCACTGGGTGCCCTCTATATTCATTAAATATGCATATGGGAGAATCCTATAAAATAGCTTACGTTTGATTGCGAATTTAATTAAAACAAAAAATACAGTAACTACAGTATTTAGATCTGAAAGCAGTTCTAAGGAATACATGAATACATACAATAAAATGTTTGTTAGGAAGATAACGTTTTCAGCAAAACTTTCAAAATATAGGCACCGAATTATACGTAAGTTTAATTTTACGGAAATTATCTGTGTTTTCTTGAGTTTAAAATGAAATTTTGATTTGATATTTTAGCAGAGGCTGAAACGAGTACAATGTGTGACCCTGATAAAGAGTCTAGTGAACGGGATGAAGTTGTCAATCCTTATCCACTGGTCATCGTACCTAAATACGGATCACCCACCCCACTGAAAAACAAAACCAGGGGTAAGCTTTTGTTTATTATTAAAAAACGACTGATAACAAAATCAGAATAAGCTTTTTTATTAAACAATACATTCCAAGTTTTTTTTTTTCAAAAAAATACCTTTTTTATACGAAAATAATCTAAAGAATACAATTCAACAATCTTAGTAAAAATACTATGTACTAGGTCAATTACATTTCATATAATGAATTATATTCATCTGGGTAGAATACAATCCTGTTGATATCTTTACTTGTTGCCTGAGGGTTTTGCTGCTATTGTAGTAAACTTGTAACAAATATTATGTAACCTGATTTGATATTTTTATCCCCTGACTTAGGATACCATTTATTGATCAGATACTTTATACCTTTCAAAAACTGTTTTACAATGCGTTCATGCCCTATGCTTGAGGGTAATTTCTCTTTCCTGAAACCCCCCCCCCTTTTCATTCGATTCTTTTTATTGCACCTATTTGTCTTCTTATAAATTATAAAATACATGTATATGTTACTAGATCTCACTCACATTTATCTTTCATTGTATTCGGCATATACATGTATATGTAATAAATGTAGCCGATTATATTTCAAGTACGTCTAAAATATAACGTTAATTAAGAAACCAATTAATCTCATTCAATGTGTTAAGCATGTACATGTATAGTTTGTCATATACAGAAAAAATAACAATAATAAAGCTGATTTTTCTGGAGCACACGGCGGGTGTGACCTGTCGGCAGGGGATGCTCACTCCTCCATGGCACCTGATCCAACCTCTGATGTTTTGGAGGTCCGTGTTTGCTCTGCACCTATTTTGTAATGTTTAATGGACATTTGAGCTTGAATACTGTTCGTTATCTCCATATATTTCACTGTAGATGAATGGACTGTTCTGAAACTAGTTACCGCCTCACCACTTTTTTCTCTTCTTAATCTTTTATAGATTTATTTCGACTCTATATTTCTTTTTGTTCATATTCTCCAGACATAATATATCTTGCACATTTTAGACGAGACAGGCAGTCCTCCAAGAGTCACCAACAAATCTGACAGTAATGATCAGCCAAACAAGTCTTCAAAATTTCGAGCCACAGTTATTGCCGCATCATTTATTAATAAATTGCATGCTCCTATAGCTGCAAGAAAAGGTGGGAAGAGCCCTTTCAAAGAAGGAGACAATGCATTATGGGTCGGTGACCCAGAATACATTTCCTCCATTCGCAGACCCCGGAAGTCGATTACTGACATGAATCATCAGAAAAATATTTATCGCGCGAAATCCGACCTCCACAGGTTTGAAGTTAACAATCCATCATCACAAAGTGGTTCAACAGTCAACTTAAGAGGGGAAACCCCGAGGTCCAAACACAGAGACAATGTTGGAGAACTACATATCACGTCAAACACCTCCCCTGATGAAATTATTTCACAGGAAATTGAAACTTCACCAAAATTTATTCGAAAACTATCGAAAGAGAGACAGACATTTGAAAAGACCCACAGTAATGCCATTTTCGGAGCAGAATTGAACAAGTCACCAAGATCAAGAAGAGGTTCATTAGAGAAGTGTACAAGGGCGAAGTCAAATGTTGAGCGAAATCAACTCTGTAGTAGGAGATCTAAAAGTCGTCAAGATTTGCCAAAATCAGATGATACCGACGGTCAAAAACTCCTTTCAGTTGGGGAGAAAACACAAACCCGAAAGTCGTCATTGAAAAAGAAGAAAGAGGACAACGATGCGACAACAGATAGGCCAAAGAAAATTTCTTTTGCAGATGAATCAATACCCAAAAGAAGTGGGTCCTTAAAGGAGAGAAAAGCTGCTGTTTCCGGTCGCCCAAGGTCCTCTTCTGGAAGTACATAGCAGTTGTTTGGTTTATATCAGGTGAAATTAAGAATTACCTATAGAAGCAAGAGCAAAGAAGAGTTTTTCTAGTGGTATATACTCTATCTTTTGATCCCTGAAATCAAAAATGATAAAAACCTGATTAAAAGAGTTTCCTTTGTTTGGCAAAATTAGGAAATTGTTTTAGAACAATCAAAGGGGGTGCGGAGAACAGAAATGGAAAGCACATGACACTATTTTGGATACTGAAAACTTTTTATCAACAGCTAGTGAAATAAACAGTTCTTAAATATGAATTATTCAAAATTGTTGCTCTGATAAATATATAATGTAATATTATGATTTGTGATCAGTTAATACATCACAGTTTGACATTTTAATGGGGAGCATTGTACTTGCCAATAAATTTTGTGAAAAATGATTTTCATCCAACGTCTCCTCTGAGTGAACGATATTGATTTAGGGGCACTTAACAGTAGCAATGTAGAAACTCATAAAATTAACATCCATCAAAATCGTTGATTCATTTGACCACCCAAGTACAAAGAATGACCTAATGTTTCATCCGTCCATTGAGGTGTTTATGAGGAATTACTTCAATCCATTGATCACAAATGATGGGACCTCCTCTTAAGGAGCAAGTGCAATTGATGATATTCTGAATTTCTACCCTGCACATCAGTTTTATAACGAACTTTTTAGGAACCATTACACGTAATTTCTTATTTTAGGGGGCGGGGGAGGTAGGAACGAGATGTTACCATCTTACGGAATTCAGTTATTTATGTGATTTAAAATCATTTTAGTATTTACAGTGTGTGTGTGTGTGTTTTGTATAATTAATTTTAAAGAATATAAACAGTACACTCTTTTGAAAGGTGTACCTCTTCTTGAATACAATTTATAAAACGGTTCTTGTCGATAATTACATAATATCTTTGCATCAGGTACGGTTTCCCAAACGATAGATATTAAACTGTGATGACCATCAATAAAGAGATTATGTGAAGTTCAAGTATAAAATTTCATTTTGGTCTCAGCAAAGATAATAAAATTGTCAGTCATGACACAAGAAGAGGTAAATGACGAATAAAAATAGAAAAGTAAACATTTACAATTGAATTTTTATTGAGTATGAAAATAAAGCAAACACTGTGTTATTCCAACAATTGTTAAGGAAAACATAAGACATTTTATTGCACTTATAAGTTAAAATATGCACTTTCGTTTTTTGCGGTAAAATGGAATTATGCAAATTTCATTTTGAACTAATATGGCGGTAGTTTTTCGGAACACTTCGGTGACATCTTAAACTTCAGTGTGCATTGCAGCATCCTTTGCTAGTCTTTCTGCATCAAGGACTTCCCAGCAGGATCTGTTGTTGAGTACTGCATCATACAAAGGTTTAAAAGAAGAATCGAGGTTTGATAATGCCTGTCAAAATTAAGAATAATCGACTTAATGTATATGTCAGCAAATCAAAGGTTCTGACAATTTTGAAAACTATTGGACATAAAACTCGAATAGAATTATGAAAAACATTAATGAGAAAATGATGCCCGTAATTTCTTTGAATTAAAACTCCTAATAGAACAATGTTTTCATTAGAAAGAGAATGAATTATTGTCTTTTTTTTCTTTAAATGAAAAGCTTTTTCAGACTTAGCGAAATAACAATACACGCACACACACCAAACATGCATATCTTAAGATGTATTCCATGTGTTTTATTTCATTAAAATTCTTGCATTTAAATGTTATAAAGTTGAATTTTTTTACCCTGTACAAAGGAAGACAAATTCCATCTATCCAACTCAGCTGCAATTTTGGAAGTTCATCCTGCTTCTCCCTATCCATACACGCCTGGCAGAAAAAAAATTATACTTGTATACAATTTTCAAATTTACTGGTCTAGAAACTTAAATCTTTAGAATGAAATGAATAAGATATCCAATTTTACATGTACTAGTACTTTGTTTCTCTTTTTCTTAAACAATCTTTTCTCTATCCTGAAGAAGGGAAAGGTTAACCCATTACAAATCGTTCAATACGGTCAACTTAAAAGGTATATATCTAAAGCATTAAAACCTGGTTTATATCAAAATGAAAAGAGGTATAAGGGTGGCATTACCTGTGGTTGTATTTTCAGTTCGTTTCTTTCTTTATCACCCTGATCAAAGAATTCAGTCATTACAAGATCAGCAACCTATGAAAAGAATGAGACTGAAAATACGCAATTTTTGACAAATTAGTTAATGTCATTCAAGATTTTCAACATCAATTGTGGGATATTATTTCACAATTTCATAAAAATACGAAAACAGATCAATTTTCAGTCAGATGAAAGCACATAACATAATTTTAACAACTTTGAATTTACATGTATCTAGAGTGTTCTATCATCTCCATTAAAATTGTTTAGAGAAATCTTTTTTTTTAAAATTCGCGTATTCTAGTAGTTTATATAAGTCGACTTTCTTTAATTAATTGTACATATTATATATAATAATTTTCTTCAAAGGCGATGCTATTTTAATTAACATATTTTAGTTTTCTGTCCTTAGATCATTCATATTTACCTTTGAAAAGAGAAATTACACTTTAATTGATGTTTTATTTATAGTTTTCTTATCAAATGAAGTATCATTACTTTTCGCTGGATTTCCCAGGGTTTTGTAATGGCTGCCACATCACAGGTCGTCATTAAAATACTACGTAATATGTCACGTGACTCTCTGTCATCCCAATTTTTCATTCCTGAGTCGACCATGGCGAAAAATTTGTTCCTTACTCTGTCAAACAAATTGGTGCTTTTGAACTTTAACACATGGGGGAAAATATAAATGTAAAGATAAAGAACAGAGATCAAACTCAAAATCCGATAAAACAATTTAAAAAATGAGAGAGCAGGGCAAACATAGACTCCTGTAAAATTTGAGGTGAGATCAGGTGCCATGAAGGAGTAAGTCCCCTGTCCAACGAACACTCCCTCCCTGAGCCCTTTGTGATTGGGTGATTAAAAGGAGTACTAGTAATTTGTATACAATCATATGAAAACAATGGCATATCAATTCGCATGGAAAACATCAGTCAACATTCGACAAAACAACAGGTTGTATATGAAACAAGGTCATTGTAACGACAATAAAATATAGAAATGTTAACTTTAAACGAGATTGTTGTTACCCCATCAACATTAACTTATTTGCCAGTAGCCTGCCACGGTTAAGAAATTGAGAATTACGTAGAACATGCTCTTGTGAATCTCAACATTTCGGAGACTTAAAAAACTCATGCAAATGGCATTGGGATCATATTATTAGCATGAGGACAGTTGCAGTCATCCTATTTACAATTGACTATTTGCAACAAATGTGTATATCTAGTAAAGTATCTAAATGTGAAACAGATGTGTCAGTATTTGTGTTGTCTTTTATTTTGACATAACAAATCATTCAACCTATGAATGAAAATGGATACAAATATTGGTAATTGATAAAATTTCGTCGATATATCTAAATGTCAAAATGTTGGCTAATGGAAGAAACAACTTCTTTTCACGTAGAAATGTTTGAATGTTTTGCTTCATTAGAATACAAAAACAAGCATAAAATAAACGTATAAGTTAGCTAGAAATTGAGAACTTTTTGTTTATGTTTCATTTACATCGGGATTTTTTTCTCCCCTGATATAATGCATGATGGGCAAAGAGAACAGATGCTCTCAGGAGATCCATAACTGGATTAATAATGTGTCGTATTTACATTCCTATTTTTAAATTATTACTGAGTATATAAATTATTATATGATTTAAATATATTTAGATTAGTGCTGAACTGTAAATTTAAATATGAAACTCTCTATCAATGATTTTTAATGTAGACTGCATTCACTTAACTTCTACTTTCTTAAGAAGGAAAAAAAAAAGCAGCAATTATTTTGTTAAATTTCACTCTTCGTCAAATTTCATTTCACTGATTGTGCCCCTTTTATAGCCGACCTTTATTTCTATTCCTATGAAGCAGAAATTATTCAAAAACTTCTGCATGAGAAGAAGAAAACATTTGCTATGGCCTTCTACTCGACATTCAGATATATCGACAACGTTTTATCAATTAACAATAGTTACTTCCACTCAAATGTCGACTCAATATTTCCCGGTGAACTTGAAATAAAAGACACCACAGAGTCTGTTAAATCTGTTTCATATTTGGATGTTTACTGACTATAGACAACTTAGCTGTTTGAGAAACGAGATAACTTCAGCTTTTCCATCGTCATCTTTCCTTATTTATGTAGTAATTATATTTCATTATCACCTACATATTTATGTCTCTTAACTTATTCGATACTAATGAGCATGCTCTGAGTACGATCAAGTTATAAACCAAGACAGTCTACTGACAGATAAGTTGATGTTACAGGAATTTCAACATCCTCGTTTAAAGTAAGAATTTCGTAAATTCTATTGTCGTTAAAATGACCTTGTTAGGAAATATATCCTATCACTGGGTCGTATTTTCACTGATATATTTCATACCAATTGTTAGGCTTTTGTTTTACACTAAATATGACTACAGAATATTCTGTCTACTTGATCAATACACAGGGATTATGGCGGTGTGACCGGCGGACAAGGCACTCCTCTTAGGCACCTGATCCCATCTTTGATTTTCCGGTGGTCTGTGTTTTATGCCCTTTTAACAGATTTGTATTTTTTGTAGGTTTTTTTCTTTTAGATCGATATATATATGTTTACCTTCTTCATTCTGTAATTTTTAATTTTTTGAGCAGACACACGTCTGCTCTTTTGGTGAATTCTTATTTTCGTAAAAAAACAGCTTTAGACCAACCCTGTAATGTGTCTAAACTGAGTGTTGACGAATGTTTTCTAAAAAAAAAAAATCAAAATCCATATTGTATGTAAATATTAAAGGTTTAATGACGACTTACTGAATGTGTCGAGAGAGATCGGTGGCCAAGATGGCCTCTTTCAGCAATTTAATCACTTCGCTGTATTCTTCTGAATTAAAGTTTCCAAAGATATTGTGGCCCTGTATGACAAGAAGAATAAAAATTAAGACAAATTAAAACATGTATATTATTGGGGAAAACAAACTTTAGATTTCGATTAATTTCTAGGTACCGTATTAAACTAACTCTCTAATCACAATAAAAGTTAAAATGTATTTCCATGGAAATGACACCATAAAATACCCAATAGAGACTGCAAAACAAAGAGGGCTGAATTAAGATAAATTGAGTTTGTGGAATCAATATTTTATATTGCCACTTCTTGCATCAATATATGCGGTGTGTATAACAGATAACTTGTATACTAAGGGTATCAGGTGTTTTAGATTGGTCTGCTAAATTCCTTTTAGTTCTCAATGTCAGAAGTCTGCTAAATTCCTTTTAGTTCTCAATTCAGAAGCAAGAGGTTGTCAAGTTACATAGGTCGTGATTTGATAGTATTGCATAAGCTAGATGTTGTTAGGTTCATAGGCCGTGATATGATAGAATTGCATAAGCTAAAGGTTATAACATAACCTAGAGGTTATTAGATTCATAGGCCGTGATATGATAGTATTACATAAACTAGAGGTTATTAGGTTTATAGGCCGTGATATGATAGTATTACATAAGCTAGAGGTTATTAGGTTCATAGGCCGTGATATGATAGTATTACATAAGCTAGAGGTTATAAGGTTCATAGGCCGTGATATGATAGTATTATATAAGCTAGACGTTATTAGGTTCATAGGCCGTGATATGATAGTATTATATAAGCTAGACGTTATTAGGTTCATAGGCCGTGATATGATAGTATGACATAAGCTGAGGTTGTTATGTTACAACGGCTGTGATATGTTTTATAACAGCTAGAAATTTTTAGGTTCAAAGGTCATGACATGATAGGATAACATAAGCTGGAGATTGCTAGGTTACATCGGCCATGATCTTTAATGCTTATCGATTTTCTTTTTGTTATTTTCATATCAAAGATATATATTAAAGATTTCTTTTAAAGTTTACCTCACTATTCAAAATCATGATGGCGTGGTTGAAATGGTGGTGCTCTAGGGTTGCCTTAGTTCCATACAACTGAGCCAAAGCTGAACTTGTCCTGTGAATAATAATAATATACATTTGTTATTGTTGGTTAAAAGTATTCTTCATTGTCATATAATATTTGTCTATCATGACAGGTGACAGAAAGGGACATAGAATTTGTATGCTATTATTATACATAGTATTATACATAATTGGCTCTAGTCCATTTATTCGATTATGCACTTTTACATATATATTATAAAATTTATTTTTGCTTTTTTTTATCGCTGAAATAGCTTAGGTCTCCCAAAATGGAAAAGAAAAGCTTTTCACGTACATATTTTTTCTACAAACATAATTATAACCATCAAATGAAATTACTTCTGCTGGAACGCATTATTCGTTCCTCTGTGATCAAGGTCATGGCAAAGACAAGCCACCACCAAAGCGAGGCTTTCTTTATCTGAAAGGTGACGCCTTACTCCAGCCCTCTGTAGATGATACAGAATACTTTTTTTTATAACAGAATGGGTACGTAAATCATACAAAACAATATAACATTATTAAAACTAATACGGATGGTTTGCAGAGTATTTACATATTGGTCAAGGGCGACTTAAAGTTTTTATTTTCTGTTTAACTGAAAAACAATAGAAGAATAGAAATATTATATACATTCTCTCGCAAATTATCAGGTCTCAGACATAAATATTAAAAAAAAACACTGGTCCCTAATTCATACATTTAATTGGAAAATGAAAATTATGAGAATTTATCATAAACATTTGCCAATTATATAAGGTCAAAGCTTAGATTAACTCCAAAGCGATTTTGACAGTCTAATTTGAGACCAAGACAACTCAAACACATTTGTAAAGTTAGTCAATGAGCATGATATCACCTCAACAGAGTTGTTAATATACATGTACAACTTCATGGTCAGTATTACAGGGATATAGGTCAGCTCCAGTAGTGGCTTCGAAAATATCAACCTGATTATCCTTGTGTTATACCACAAGACTTATGATGCGAATGGGTTATCATGTAATGCTCAACATATTTTTTCCTTTACTTTTCTCATGGTTATAATCAAACTACAGCATACGTAATGGTGACTTAATTACTTATATTTCTTTTCCTAAGTTTGTGATTGGCAGATTAAAACAACAGTTAAGAAAATTGTGTACGGCTGACGAATAAATACAGTTTTTGTATTATCAGTCAATAAAAACCGGATACTGTTTTATAGTCCTTCCAATGGTATTACAAAAAGCAAAGGATAATGAATACTGATCAATTTTGTGGATCCTCTAAACAATATAAATCGTGAACAGAGAAAAACCGAACCCCTGAGGTGGGATCAGGTGCCTGGGAGGAGTATGCATCCCTCGTCAACCGACCATACCCTTTTTGAGCCCTCTGTATTGATCAGATAAACAGCGTGTTCTGTAGTCAAATTTCATAGAAAACGAATAGCCTAACCACTAGTATGAAATATATCATTCAAAATTTGATCCAGCGATAGGTTGCTTCTGTATTGCAAACAAGGTCATTGTAATGACTATAGAAATTGCTATATTACTGACTTTAAAAGATCCAAAGACTGTTGAAAGTCCTTTTGCATCAACTTAATTGTCTGTAGCCTGCTTTGGTTTAAAAATTCATCGAACTCAGAACATGCTCTTGTATGCAGAATTAGCTGGGAAACATAATTATGCATTCAATAGCTTATTTTATAACTATACTGATATATGTTAACAGCGAAACATTTACGACATTAGTGGCGGCAAAGTGATAGAAAACTTTTTTTAATGTTTACTAACCTTGAGGGCTGCAAACATAAACTGACACACATTGAAGGCGTGTCGCCAGTTGTGGTAGGCAACATTCCTGTAATTCTTTCTAACAGTCAGGATCCATCTACACAACACCTTAAATCAGAAATATAAGTGATTTGTAAGTCTTCTGCAAGGTTTGACACATTTAATTAAAAGTGATTAAAAATAAATATTCTCTCTCTCTCTCTCTCTCTCTCTCTCTCTCTCTCTCTCTCGAGCTTTAGTTTTTATTTCCAAATGATTTTTGTACGTTTTGGGGTGTTTATGGGCATCAGCTCCGAAAATGTTTTTATAAATCAATTATTTGATACTAATGAAAGTCTCTCTGATTTTTTATCACATAATTAAATTTTAGATATAGTGTAAAAAGCCGACGAGCAAAGCTGCTTTCAAATAAATTATATATTTCCTGAAAAGAATGATATTTTAGGTGAAGACAACCAGATAATTAAAGAGAGACTTGTCAAAAAAAATATGCATAATTATTATTGAATTTCTCCTAGAACATCTGTACCGTACATTAGCTAAAGGCATGTGGCCGTTAAGAAAAACAAATTACTCCTAATCCTCCACCGTCATTTCAAATTACTGTTCATCAATCTGAGAACTTAATGTTTCTTTTAATAAATTACCATCCATTTCTTCCTTCAAGTATTTCCTTAACTCTATTATTACCTAAATGATGAGCTCTAGCTTTTTTGGACCTAGAAAATTAAAATATCTACCTCACTATCGATTCTGAATGTTCTATTGAACCCCAGGTCTTTGAAGATCCTGACAGCAGCCAACAGCATGTCGTCGCTGCTGAGGGAGAAATCGTTGAAATTGAATGTGTCTAATTTCCACTCAAGAGCCTCCGATGGTTTTCTCGACTGGAAATGATGTTATTATGCATTAATGAAAATCAGTGAATTTCATATTACACAAGCTTTCTTATCAAATTGTTGAAATCCCTTTTTTTCATTTTAATCTAGCTTCGTCGATGTTTTTAGCTCTTGTTTTTCTCAGGCTTTCGTAGCTACCAATATGAATACTAAAGGTACGGTAAAACTTGTCCAATCCGAATACGAGTAGTTCATGACAGTTTTCTGAATTAGAATTTTTTTTAAAAATGCCTTTAATGAAAGTGACGCGTAGTTTTTATCACAATAGGCAAGCGTTTGGAAAATATAACATTCAGATTAGACAAGTTCTACCATAGCATATGTATATTCAGCCTCAACTTAATAACAAAATTGAATTATTGCAGTTTGCAATTGTTACATATTTATGGAGCATATTTGGGTTAAAAATAAAGTAAATCTATATTATTTTATCCTAAGTTTAAAAAAAATAAAATCAAAATTTGATTAGTATACAAATAAAAAAATACAGGAAATTGTGGAATAATTAGAGACAAGTTACACTTCGCAGACACGGTTTGTTAAACAATGACCAGAATTTAATTTTTCAATAATAAGATTACTTGGGGTTTCAATGATGTCCAAGTATTGTACTTTTCATAAATATGAAGCTGCTGTGATTGGAGAGTGTTCGCCTAGCTATGCTTTTATATGTATATGTAGTTTGGAATTTTAAATCGTGAGCTGGTCTTGTAAAGTGGAAATTACACATTGATCTAATTTCTACTTTATATTTACAAAGAGTATTTTCGGGACTCATGTAATTAACAATTCAAAATGACATTAACATTATGTCATTCTGCCGCATGCTAGGAGTGTTATATAATTGATAGGTAATGAGGAAGCACATTATATTATTCCTATCGATCCAATGACAATTTGCACACATTAAGTAATTATAAATTTTCTTTCAAAGGCAGGCAGAATTCTCTTCCATACTTTTCTATGATTACACAATTCTTTCATATTTACCTTTAATTTTACAACATCTTCTGCAGATACAGCCCCATGATAGGAAAGTACCTAAAAACCGAAAATTATGTAAGCGAAAGCAATTATCATTGTCTGCGGTCACCACAATGTCCAGAAGCAAACCATCCCCATAACACAATTGACATTAGCTATAGTTATCAGTTCATAAAATCTGAGAAAGGATTGATGCTGGTACTTATGGCAATAAGCCGCGAAGGACCGCAAGAAATAAGTCGGGTTTGATGAATCGGATTACCTCTAGTGCTACCATTTGCTTGGCTGAGGCCACGGCGATTTCCTCGTATAGGAGACAATTATTGATTCCAAGTCCACAGAAAATGGTAAAAGCCTGCAGTGATTAAAGAAATAGGTCATTATTCCTAATTATGAAAATGATGATAAGTTATGGAACAATATGCATCTTTTTTTTCAGCTCTTCAAAGTCTTTTTTATTTAAATATTTCGGATTTCCAAGGTTTCGGCATGAGTATTACTGAAGAGACATAATTTGTCGAAATGCGCATCTGGTGCATCAAAATTGGTACCGTATATGATTTACATGTAGAGGGTTAATGTGTTTAAACAGAAACGTTATCTTTTAAATCCAAAGTATGTGGATTTTGATTGAGTTCTCAAAGCTATGACTAGAATTGCAGCATTAATTAGCAATAATAAATTCCTTCTTAAGGTTTAACAATTGAGCGCTACGGTAACCAAGAATTCTCTTACAGTACCTCGAACAATTGGTCATCGTGGTCATCAAACGCATGGCCGTCAATTCGGTTCATTACCTGGGCAACACCTGAAAAGTCATAAATATATACTTTAATTGGACATATTGAAAGACGAAAATTTGACACCGCAATTTGCTAATACTCTTTTGTAAATTCAGTCAAAATGGTTGGTAATTGTCCGAAAAATTCAGAAAAATACCAAATTATTTGCGGAAAAGTGACTTTTATAGGCTTAATTCGATTTGAATACCAATGTAGGCGAAACTAGTATTTTTTGGTAGATTTTAGAAATAAAAGTACACAACATCTTTGGAGAAATTAACACCCAGTAATAAACTTAGTTATTTATAATGTTTTCTACCTAAGCATTTATCTTTGAAAATCAGTATTTGATTGATACTGATGATAAACTTTTTAAAAGTAAGCTTTATGATGATACTTAAAGTAATTTCAATCAGGCAACATTCCCTTGTATGTCTGATTAACAGTAAACTTTTTAAAAGTAAGCTTTATGATGATACTTAAAGTAATTTCAATCAGGCAACATTCCCTTGTATGTCTGATTAACAGTAATTCTATAGGCTACTCATTTCGTCGTATAGACATTGTTTGGGTGCATTAGTTTATTCTGAATCACTACTTTAAATTCTGCACGGTATGATTATTTGCAATTTTCAGTACGTAGAACAATAACCTCAAATTTTCTTGGAAACTGTCATCATCTCTAATCATAACAACATATATTTACACGCATGTGCACATTTGAAATCCCAAGGGAATGATGATCCTTCTCGGGTTAACTGATGACGTCAATAAACAGGCATGGACGGAAAGGATTTTAATAGTTCAAATATTACATGTCCAGATACGTAAAAACTAAGTTTATTTTTTCTGTTCTTCGATGTCAACCATTCAAGAATCAATTTCGAAGTAATCACCCTGTATAAAACTCCCCTTACTTTTGCATCTTCATCTAGTTCATTATCTAGGTATATAGTTATCTAGTTATTTAGTTAATTCTTTAGTAAGAGTTAATTATACAAACAACCTCGCATTGTTAATCCAAAGGATGTTTATACGAGTATACTTGATTGATAAATGTATAGGCTAAGAGACAGTTCTTGAGACTTTTCCCCGATGCATAAATGAAATTGCAACGCATATTTTTGAAAATAAAAAGCTGTTTAGCATAAATAATCAACATACTAGTATGTTGAACATACGTTCAAAAGCATGTGTTAAATGTTTGATTAATGACTCTTTCGACATATATATCTAGCAATAAGTTTGAATCGTTTGATAAACATACTGCGAAGAGTTACACAATTTGTAGTTAGATACATATTGAATTATAGTTACTGAGTGTTTTATTTGTTTTATTTATATTTACAGTTTTGACAGATTATATTTGGGTCAGAGTTCTGCAAAAAAGAATAAACAATTGGATAGAAATCATAATTCGTTTTTTATAAATACCGGTATGAATGAAAAAGGTGAATATATCGAACAATGATCGATCTCAAAAGATGTACAAACAATACAAATCTGTGAATAGGACATAAAACGCGGACCTTTGGAAATTCAAGAGATGGGATCAGGTGTCTAGGAGGAGTAAGCATCCCCGTTGACCAGTCACATGCAGCGTAAGCCCTATGTATTAATCAGGTAAAAGGAACATTCCGTAATCAACTTCAGTATAAAAAATGCCTAACAACTGTAACACGTCAGCCAAACTACGACCAAATTATAGGATACATTGTATATTTGCTAACAAGGTCATTATAACGACCATAGAATTTATGAAATGCTTTAAACGAGGTTGTTGAAATTCCTGTAGCATCAACTTTTCTGTCAGTAGCCTGCCTAGGTTAAAAATTGATTTTTTCAGAGCATGCTCTAGAGTATCGAATAAGTTGAGAGATGTAAACACCTTATGCAGATGATAGCGGTATATTACTACATAAATAAGGAAAGATGACAATGGAAAAGTTGAAGTCATCTCGTTTGTCATATAATTTAGTTGTTAGTTGGCCCTTACCGTCTTTAGTTAGTAAAACATCCAAATATGAAACAGATGTGACAGACTCTGTGGGTTTTTTTTTTTTATTTCTTTTATTTAAAGTTTATTTTATTTCAAGATATATCGGTCCACATATGAATGGAAGTAACTATTGTTAATAGATAAAACGTCGTCGATATATCTAAATGCCGAGCTGAAGGCCAAATCAAGTGTTTTCTTTTTCTCATGTAGACGTTTCTGAATAAATTCCGCTTCATAGGAATACAAAAACAGGTCGGCTAATAAAGGAGCACAATCAGTGCCCATCGAAATTAAAACAGTTTGTTGGAAGACCTGGTCTCCGAATACTACATTAATGTTGTCAATGAGGAACTCAATCATCCTTTTAAAATCAACTTCGGAGTACTTGTGTAGAATCAGGGTGCTTTTTAACAAACTAATTTTCTTGATGACCAATCACAAGATACGAAAGTTTCTGACTTCCATTTCTATTAAAGAATCAGTTATCTATGAAACCAAAAAGAAAAAAAAAACAACTAGTATTTAATTTATCGTGAGAAATGGTTGTATAAAGGGTAGAAAAGTCGTACGTTTTAATGTTACTGACTTCTAAAAAATTTTGGCGATTCTAAATTTTCTAAAAGTTCTTTGGAGGTTTTGAAAATCCACATCTGATTCACACCTTCTAGAATAAGATGTAGCACAATACGTCTGAAGTTTCTCCTTTACAGCAGTTAATATTTTTGTAAGGAGTAAAGATATGGGCTTGACAGAGAATTTGCTGGACCCGGCAATGTATGTTTGTTTGTAAGGATTTTTATGAAGTTTAGGAATCCAGTAAAGGTAGGAGAGATCGAACTAACCTTGGTTGACTGGAATGTTAAAAGTATTAAACACTGAAATATGATTTTGAAAATTTTCATCCTTGGAAAGTGAACTGTGAGTGTAATTTGGATTTCCAGACGAACAATTAAAAGTTCTTCGAATATGCAGTTATAATAATGAGCCTTACAAACAAAGATGATATTGTAAAAGCCTTGTCTGCTGGAACCATAACATAATGTTCATGTAGTCTTTCTAAAAACCAAACCGAAAGTGCACAACCTTGACTTGATACCAGTGCATTGATTGTATATTTCTTGTTAACAGGTATCTGAGCTGCATATACGATTAATCTGTTTATCGTCCGATATCCTCTTAGGACGTGGTTTTACATACCTATTGTCTGATTGTCTCTGTTCCTGATTGGCTTACAGAGGATAGAGCGTGTGTGGAATCCAGATTCTCCATCACACTGAAGAGAATGTACAGAGTCATGTTAAATTGTCATTTTTAATCACTTATCGATGTATTACTTATCATTCATCATTCATTACTTAAAAGTTTGTTCTTGTTGATCTTTAATATAAAAGAAATTTTAAAAGGACTATTTACATTTGGATCAAATCTGGAGTCTTGGTGAGCATCAGCAATGTTGATTGTTTCCCCCGTCATCAAAACTAACTCTGCTATCTTATTACCAACTTGGTAATCTGGCATGTTTTCAGAGCTGAAAATTTATTAAAGTAATTATTTTTTACATCTTAGAATTAACATAAATAATGAAATAAATATCCATTACATACATGAAATATCTCTCTTACTATTTTAATTGTCACGCGAAATATTTTGATATCACATTTTTTTGTTGCATGTGAAAGGCATGCAAATGTTTTAATTTGTTGATGTTGCAATTTTCTTCAATTTTGTTTGGGCTAACGCACTTAACTTGGAGCTTCTATTGGGAATGCTTATCTAAAAGTTGTCAATTGTAATCTCGCGCAGACAGTTTTATACCACGTGATAAGGTCACTCTAAATCCCGTGTGGGATAAACGTCATTACAGTTTATGAGCTTGACATTTATAACGTTTATGCTGAATTACAGAGGAAAAGAACAAATATGACATTTTGATTTTTGAAAATGATTCTCTCAAGGCACTGACAACGATAAAAGTGGTTATTGATATCAATGTAGAAAGTACACATAATTACATTACCACACCAACATTCAGGATTTCAATTTCTATATTATTTGATTCTTGAGTACTTTATAAATTGGCAAAACAAAAATCGCATTTGCTGCAGGTTTTGAAAACTTTTTAATGACATGTTGTTAGACACTCAGAACTTTATTCTGTTAGTTATTAAACCCATTTGGATCCTCTTGGGTAAAACAAAATCTTCTCAGTGACAGCAAAGGAGGAATGTAAATATATCTTTAATGTAAAGAAATAATCATGTTTTCTACGAAGAACTTAAAAAGTATTTTCACTTATGAATATGTTTCCAATACATTGATGCATGAAATTTTATTTTTACCTTGAAAAAGTAGGACTGCTTCGTGAGTGGGAATTGTGTAGGTTTGGAGAAGTCGGTGTAACAAGACGCCTTCTACGTGACAGGAAGCGGAAATAAAGAAGAAATATATACATAAGAGGAAAGTTGGAGTAAAAACGCGCAAGAATAGACGAAATAGACAGAATGCAATCTGCCATGTGTTTGAAGTTAAACGCATTTTCTTAAATGCTAGCTATAGTAATCCTCCGTCTGATAAAAGCGAGTACATAAAAAGAGCCCTTCAGATGTCCAATTCCTCAAGAAATAAGAAAAGCACAAAAAGATTAAGAAAATGAAGATCAAACAAAATTAATAATAGTGGTACAGCGTGAGATTCAATACAAAATAGAATTACCTCTGGCAAGTCTGGCCATTTTTCATTGGATAAGCAAGGTCAAAAACCTTTTTAAAAGAGGTCTGATAATAAAAAAAAAAAAAAGAATTAATCTTACTTACATAAATTAAGAAATAATCATGAGGCTAAACTCATGATACACATCAAAACACATAGTATTCTTTGGGTTTCTATTTCTAATGATATAAATCTCGAATCTTGTTTAGAAATAATGTAAGATTTGTCAGACTAAATTAGAAAAAAATTATGCTACATTAAGATACAAGTTTACGTATTTTTTTTAATTACTTTTGCTTTCAAAAAAAAATACAAAAAAAAAAAAAAAACAAAAACAAAAACAAAATCATTGCGTTCTCTTGGTTATGCAAAAAAACACAATTTAGAAAGAGAAAATTTAAAGTAATTTAGTTCACATAAAAGTAATTGAAAGGAGTAAAATACTGATTTAATTAATCATTTAGATCTTTTTGTAAATAAAAAGCCCAGAAAACTAAGAAAAATCCCCCAAAATCTCATCTCCTTTCACATTCAATTTTGATTTACGTTCGTGTATCAAAAGTGACAAAAATCTTGCATTTACAAAACTTGTTTTTACACCATGTAAAATGTAAGTGAATGTGTAGATACACCATTTGTCTTTAGATTAAAAAACAGTTACAAATAGCAAACAAAGAAGTCCGTAATTATCTCCTATGTTGATATATATGTCGGATGCATCATGCAAATCGAATCAACTGAGATCGACTCTTATAATTACCAAAACTGACATCTACATAATTCAGCTGCATAGTAGAAGACTTCTATTCAATTTTAAGACCCATGCAAAGTGCTCGTGTTTTATGATAAAGCTATTTTGGAAGATAAATAAATCTTTGTCTTGTTTAACTCTCACTTTTGATGTGTTGAATGAAAAATACATGTAGATGGCAATTATTTAGATTCTAAATTTGGCAGGATTTAAGAATAAGCAGATATATAATGTCATATTCATTAGGAAAACCTATGTGCAAGGACTATAACATTACTATCAATTTTTTTTACTTCGACTCGAGATCCTTACCATACAATAACTAAATTTATGATATTACGAGTAATCGGTTTGTATGCCACGCAAAGATACTGAAGATCGCCCATACTGTGAGCAGTAAAAAAAGTAACATCATACTTAAATAAGTAATGATTCCAACAAAAACATAAAAACAAATGAGTACTGTCCGTAATAATGATTGTCAAAATTAGTCTTGAAAAGATAGGTCCAAGTTTACTGACCTCTGACGAGCCATCTCGTAAAAGCACAGAGCAGCGCTCACATTTCAACAAAGTCTGTGCTCGCTGCATTATTTTGAGTATAACGTTTTCCACCGAAGTTTGTTCCTCAAACAAATCATGAACTACTTCTAGCAATGCCTGCAATAAAATGGGTGTACATTGTATATATCATAGGAATCCCGATTTCCTTTGCTTTCACATGTAAAACATAGATTTGATTTTTATAAAAATATTACCTATTGATGAAAGATGGTATAAAACTTTGAAAAATTAACACATTAGTCTCGATATTTTCTTGTTATTACTGTCATGTTTTAATCCATACTTATCGACTCTTAATATCTTGGTATCGTAGATACAGATTGGGGGATATTAGAAGTACAAATACCCCATTTATGATGATATGTAAGTTATGATACAATTATCATATCAATATCTAGCATTTAAAACTAAATCATTATCTTAAACATAAGCACTAACTGTTTTAGATCTTATTAATACATGTATATTTTGTAGCAAGTACCAAATTCCATTAAAACACTTATTTTGGACACTTACAGAAACATTTCAAAAGTATTATATACTATATATCATCAAATAATGCAAAAATGTGTTTACAAATTTCTAATTACACTATATTACCTTGTTTCGTTCGTATTCTTTAGTATATGCTTCGAAAATCTGGGCATTGTATATTGCTATTCCACAGAAGGTGAGGTATGTTCCTAGGAGCTTATGAAAAAAAATTACAAGACATTGATATTTTAAATCAAGTCATGGAAACTATGATATGCATGCAGACATGTTCACGTAATAAAAGAAAGCTTTAAGACTTTTGGGAAACGTCTGATTGGAATGGTCTAATAAACCAGAGCAATTTTAATTTCAGTAAGTTTCCATCTTAAAGCGCTGAAACAAGCAATAACAAAAAGAAATGTATTGAAAGTGCTGATTAAGAGGATTTATCATTGACATCCACGAAACCACTGGATAATAACAGAATTAGTTGCCTCAAATCCAAATTGTATTTTACAATTGATCATTCGTGACCGAGTTGTCACTTCAAGGATTTTTTCTGTGGTGATCATTTCATGCTGCTGTCTCCTTTAGTCCACCAGGTCCCAGGAACATCCCAATTAGCAGCTAGCTTACTCGTTCAATACAATTTCCTTGTACCACTAACAAGATAAGTTGGATTATTCTATTCGTCATCACACTAACAATAACTACTGCGTTGTGACGGATTGGATCCAGCTGATAGTGATGTTAGGAATGCATGAAGAAACTCATTAAAGCATAAGACGCCAAGTTGTTGCCTTCCTTTCTCTTCAAATGAATATATTTTAATCTATTTTCCTTAAACTAGATCTTGTATTTCTTCCAAACTAAAGCAGATATTCCATTCTTTTCTCTGTGTATATAAACTTTTTTCCTCATACTTCATCTTGTCTGTTCAATCATATGTTTTATTTTCCCTATTAAATATTTGTCTTTACTGTTTTTCTCAATTAATTTCCTCTTAAAATTCCTCTCTTCTGAAACAATTTCTGAAAACAATGCACATATAACTATCGGTACTTTTTCTCACGTTTTTGTTTTTAAATACCTTTTCGTCGTCTTTGCTGAACCCCTCCCGTGTCCCCGCTTTGTTAATAACTTGTGCCACAGCCACCACTTCGTCATCACCGTTTCGTATCGGCATACAGAGTAGAGTATCGGTCCGGTATCCGGTGATTTTGTCCACATCGTCATTGTACCTTGGGTCCTGTCAAAATCAAGAATATATAAACCTTATTTGGAGCAAATTCTGCCTGTTGCAAATAAAACTTATTATTATCCTTCTGATACACTACGTCTTTCTGATATTTTCTTGGGTTTATGCAATATTGTACATGATGTATTTCTTAGATTAATTAATTGTTCTTTAAATTCGCAAATCTCATGTTAATAGCGTGAATCAATAACAATCGTTTTCTATCACAAAATTGCAAAATGAAAAAGGTGAAGATAACAGCTGTGATCGAGCTAAAAAAAAGTTTTCTTCACAGCAGTTAATATTTTGTTGGGAGTAAAGATAGGGGCTTGGTAGTATATTTACTGGACCCTGCATTGTATCTTTGTTTATAAGGAATTTTATGAACTTTTGGAATCTAGTGTTTGTAAGGTATATCAAATTCATTTCCTTTGCCTAGCTGTTTCGGACGTCTTTGAGATGTTTCTCTTTGGTGCCGTGTTCACATATTCCTTAGGAATAGTCACACTTCAATTCAAATCTTGTTTACAACAACATTAGAAACAGAGCTAATGTCCAATCGGCTACCCTGATTAAATAGAGCAGTTTTCGTCGGAAATACAGTTCTTATTCTTATTACACTCGAAATGAAGATATCTCTCTCTCTCTCTCTCTCTCTCTCTCTCTCTCTGTGTGTGTGTGTGTGTGTGTGTGTGTGTGTGTACTTAATGACATATCAGGAATTTGAATGAACTAGTTATCTATTCTCAATTAAGCAATCTTGTTTATTTCATTTCATTAAAAAATGCTAATAGCAAAACATAAAATATTAATACATTTACATTTCAGCTAAACTTATTTAATGGTCAAACAAATTGGTAAATAAGATCATCACAGATCCCCATTGTCTCTTATGCAAGTATAATATATAAAGACATTTGTTTTGTATACAACATGTACGTGCTTTGTAGTTTATAGATCTAATGGCTTATTTTATGATTTTTTATATTGTCAACATTTGAACAACCCTTATCATTTGACAGGAATATTTCTTTTTTTTTTTCCAATATAATACCAGACTTTTCGTAGTGAGTCACTGCAGAGTTTGGGTCAGTAAGACCAATGTTGGTTATTGTCAACTGCTTAAAATTCTGAATCAAAATCTAAAATAATTAAGTTATTATACATCAGGAACACAGTATACAAAGACAGCTTTTTTCAAATGCCAACAGACTAGAGATAACTTAACTTTAGCTTTGAGGTCTTGCAATAAAAAATGGACATCTTAAATGCAAAATGACTACAGTACACCTATATTTGTTTAGAAGAGAGGGTAGAAACCTATTAAGGGAGTAAACTAGATGTCCTATATATATATATATATATATATATATATATATATATATATATATATATATATATATATATATATATATATAACTGGTATTGCCTGCAATACTTCTAATGTTATTTTTCTTTCTCAGCAGTTTTTAAAGCAGTAACAGTTTGGCAAGTTTCATCGACGTAAAGACTATTTGCGCACATATCTCATTTGTATCGCTTTTCTGTCATTGAGCAAATTGTGCAAATAAGAAGAATGTTATTGAAGCATTTCAATTCAGCCTTATGTTACATTCATGTAGTATATTAAAGTAATGTGGAAGGTTTTTTGAGTGTTTTATGTTCTTAATAAATAAGACCAGTTCTGCTTGTTTAATATTGTTTTATCTTTCAAATTCTATCTCTACAAACTGAATAAATGATTAGATATCTTATTTTTTTCTCCTAATTTCTGATTTTGTGAAAGCTTCCTCCGAAAAGAATATCAATTTTATTTTCTTACACATTTGCCCATGAACACACCAACGGTCATCAGCTGTTGAGAAATAGTCAAGTAAGGAAAAACACATGGTCTATAAGCTCATTAATTTCTCTGCTTTTTTGTCCTATTGAATTTATGCCCAATGACAGCATTTCCGGCAACAAGAGCTTCTTCGCTGGAGATCGCATCAAATACTGCTAATCACTCATCATTACCACAGCAGATTCTTTATCTTGTTTTGTCATCTCTATATAGCTCAGTCATGTTTCTAAGGAAGGTATTAAAGACTTTTTTATTTGTCACATACTCTCGGACAAGTCAAACTTGTGACAATCCAAATCGATGTAAAAGACAACAAAGATTCATTTCAAAATGTCTGTACATTTCACTTACTCTTAAAATCCTTCTTATTTAAGTAAAATGAGCTTTAGCCGTTGTCAATGATTAATTTGTATTTCAGACTAGATTTTTGTGGAAGATAAAATAAAAATCCCACTACCCACCCGCCCTATGAAATAACATGCCCAGTCAGAAGCACATTAAGTATGGTATACATGATATAAAGTGAGCCAAAATTATGCATTGCATTAATAACTTAAGCTGCAACCCATGAACTACATTTAAATTTATTCAAATCAGAGACTGTAAATTACTTTCTTAAATAGAGTTTAACTGTACACGACAATATAAATATGTAAAATATATACACTTCTTCTGCCCTCTGAACACCAGAAGATACTTAAACATCAAGATATTAAATCTACTATTCCAAATAACATTGAACCTCTTGTCCTGGTATTCATAAAGGTATCATTTTCTTCGAAAATTGCTCCGCAGCAAATCTATTGAAAACTGATCGTGTTTAAGTGTTTGTTCTAAGGTTTTTATCTCCAATTTCTTGTTTATTACGGTTTATATAAGGTTTACTTTAGATCTTTAATGGAACCAAGACGGTGTACTCACTCATAAAGCAAATTACTCTGCTGTTCACCATAAAAAGAACACTGAACAAAAACACCGCCATTTATTACGATTATGTGGAAAACAAAATTTAATATTTTTCATGTTATTTGACTTTCTTAAAAGCAATTCTGAGATGGGAGAGGAATTACCAGGTTGAGTGTGGAATCGTTTCATACAAAGAACCTTTAAGATTATTTTTCATTTCTGTTTTTCCGTGATTGCTACATTCTAAGAAAAAAGTATTTCTGGGTCATTTGAGGCAAATGTCGTCTCTTCGGTAAAGCTATACAATGCATCAAATTGATTCAAACAATGAAAAGAAAAAGACCCATGTTTAGATGTTTACATGTTTCCTACAATAATCAAATTCACGTTGCACTAAAACCTAAATCCTAATACATAAAAAAGGTGGAGGTTCTTTTTCCATTATAATTACGAAAAAAAATCATTTATGGAAATGCTTACAAAATGTGTTTAATGGTTTCAAAAAATCATTCGTGCATTTTGCTGTTCTTTTCTATTTGACACCTTATTTTGTATGAAGAAAACCAGAACAGAAAACCATGTTTACAACGGTGATGTGACTGTTTTTACCTTCAGTGGATCGATATGAAAAACATTCAAAGGCAGTTACAAGTTTTAGATGAGGTTATGTTCAACATCTGTCGCAAAATGAATAAAAAGCCAGGTTTTGCCTACATTGTGTTTTATCTGGTACCTTTTTCTACGGCAATTACAAAGTTTGCGGTAAAAAGCAGCCCGTAAAAAAGACACTATCAAAAAGTGTACATGGCTATGTTTCTCTTATGGTATCGTCAATTAACCATCTAAGTAACCATCTACGTTTTCCTTCAATCATGAAACATTATCTAGCTATGCCTTACATTCTCTGTAAGTTCTTAGAATCATTTAATAAGTCAACAGATTTATTCACTTCATTTTTCAATAGCGGAAGTTAAACATTATGGTAAACCAATGAAAGTGAGACAAAATTGTCACTTGATGACAAATAGGTCGACATAAAAAGAAAATTAAGATTGCATGAGTCTCCATCAATGTCTGATTTTTTTTTCAACATAAGAAGGATCCCCGTCTTCTCATGCACAACTACAATATACGTAGTCTGTGTGTCTATCTACCCTCTTTCATCAAGTTTGCGTGTTTTCCCCATTATATGTTCATAGCTTCTCCTGATATATGGCATTTTTCTTTCATTAGTGGGTTCCTATTCATTTTCTTGTGAAAATACCAGATTATTGACTCTTGACAGAGAATTTTTCACTTAACATCTCCATCATCGTTTTTTCTTGCTTCTACCATCAAGGATTGTAATAAATGTTAAGATTATTAGACCAGTAAAGGTAAACCAAAAAATAAATGAACATGAAAGTAATTAAAAAGGAAAGGTAAGTAACCTGACACACACTTCTTAAATCATCTTTTCATTTAATTAACTTTTAAATAACTTTTTTGCACCATTTTTTTTTTCTTAATGATCGTAGCTGATTAAAGGCTGTAACGTGAGACCCATGAGAAGAAGCTTGACAGTGGGATGCACGGTTGGTGTGAACGGTCGGCAGGGGATGCTTAACTCCTCCATGGCACCTGATCCCACCTCCGTTTTCAGAGGTCCGCGTTGACTCTGCTCATAAATTGTACCGTTTAAATGGACTTTTGAGAAATGATAACTGTTCGTTATCTTTACATTTCATGCAACCCTTATCTTATTGTCAAATATTCCAACACCATTGTCATACAAGGAATTTCTATCTGAAAGCAATGACAACTAACAATTTCATACAAACTCGTGATTATTCGTGTGTTCAAGCCCAACTGTTACAATAAAGAGGAAGTAAAATTGAACAGGACAAGATGAGACGAGGGAATTTCCTGTTAGTCTTTTTTGTCCTTTTGCTGGTAGACTTTGGTAATTGCTGGCAAGACCTTCTGAAATATGTTCGTTATTTCCTGCATCAATACATTATCCTTTACATAATAGTGACCGGCCTTTCCATACATAAAGTCGTTATGATGTCTCTTTGTTTTGTCTGCAAATATGAGGTATTTGACAATGAACTTAAGCAAAAAATGTTTTGTAGTCAAGGGTAAAGCGTGCTAATTGGCCTCATAAAACAACCCAGTAGATAACAAACGAACAATCCCTAATATCTTCGTGTTCTTGTAGTCCAAACATTGATTTTTTTGCCACTAAAGATTCTTTTCCCGCAGGGTCATTGTGGAGAGGTAT